ACCCCAAAATCTATACGGGTCATCTACTGATCATGACCAATCACCATACCAAGTTTGAAGTTCCTAGGCCTTAAGGTTCTTTAGTTATTGATCGGAAACCGTTTTTACCTACAAGGTCAATGTGACCTTGACCTTTGACCCCTTGACCCCAAAATCAATAGGGGTCATCTACTGATCATGACCAATCACCATACCAAGTTTAATGTTCCTAAGCCTTAAGGTTCTTTAGGTATTGATCGGAAACCTTTTTTACCTACAAGGTCAATGTGACCTTGACCTTTGACCCCTTGACCCCAAAATCAATAGGGCTCATCTACTGATCATGACCAATCACCATACCAAGTTTGAAGTTCCTAGGCCTTAAGGTTCTTTAGTTATTGATCGGAAACCGTTTTTGCTTTTAAGGTCAATGTGACCTTGACCTTTGACCCCTTGACCCCAAAATCAATAGGGGTCATCTACTGGTCATGACCAATCACCATACCAAGTTTGAAGTTCCTAGGCCTTAAGGTTCTTTAGTTATTGATCGGAAACCGTTTTTGCTTTCAAGGTCAATGTGACCTTGACCTTTGACCCCTTGACCCCAAAATCAATAGGGGTCATCTACTGGTCATGACCAATCACCATACCAAGTTTGAAGTTCCTAGGCCTAAGGGTTCTTTAGTTATCACTCGGAAACCATTTGGTCTACGGACCGACGGACCGATGGACCGACGGACCCACAAGTGCAAAGCAATATACCCCCTTTTTTTCAAAATGGGGGCATAATAAACAAGAGGGCCATGATGGCCCTAGATCGCTCACCTGAATTATCAAACTCATCCAAACAATTACCTAGACAAGCATTCTGACCAAGTCTCATGACAGGTGAGTCAAAAATGTGACCACTACAGTGTTAACAAGGATTATCCATATTTGAGCAGTGCGACCTAGTTTTTTACCCAGGTGATACATATTCAAACTTGACCTAGAAATCATCAAAACAAACTTTCAGACCAATTTCCAGGATACTTGGATCAAAACAGTAGCAACTAGAGTGTTAACAAGATTTTTCTATTTTTAGCTTCGGTGACCTAGTTTCACATGTGATTTCGAACTCATCCAAGCAATTACCTAGACAAGCATCCTGACCAAGTTTGATGATAATTGAGTCGAAAATGTGACCACTAGAATGTGAACAAGGTTTTTCCATATTTGGGCGGTGTGACCTAGTTTTTCATCCAAGATGACCCATGTTCGATCTTGACTTAGAAATCATCAAAACAAACTTTCAGACCAATTAACAGAATATTTGGATCACAACAGTAGCCACTAGAGTGTTAACAAGATTTTTCTATTTTTAGCTCCTGTGACCTAGTTTTTCATCCGAGATGTCCCATTGTTCGATTTATTCCAGCAATGACCTAGACAAGTTTCCTGACCAAGTTTGATGACAATTGAGTCAAAATTGTGACCACTAGAGTGTTAACAATGTTTTTCTATTTTTAGCTCCTGTGACCTAGTTTTTCATCCGAGATGACCCATGTTCGAACTCATCCGAGCTATCACCTAGACAAGCATCTTGATCAAGTTTGATGATGATTGATGCAAAAATGTGACCGCTAAAGTGTTAACAAGGTTTTTTCTATTTTTAGCTCTGGTGACCTTACTTTTTCATCCGAGATGACCCATGTTCGAACTCATCCAAGCTATCAACTAGATAAGCATCCTGACCAAGTTTGATGATGATTGATGCAAAAATGTGACCACTAGAGTGTTCACAAGGTTTTTCTATTTATAGCTCCGGTGACCTAGTTTTTTCATCCGAGATGACCCATAATTGAACTCATCCGAGCTATTATCTAAACAAGCATCCTGACAAAGTTTGATGATGATTGGGTCAAAAATGTGACCACTAGAGTGTTCACAAGGTTTTTCTATTTTTAGCTCCTGTGACCTAGTTTTTCATCAGAGATGACCCATGTTCGAACTCATCCAAGCAATTGACTAGACAAGCATTCTGACCAAGTTTGATGATGATTGGTTCAAAAATGTGACCACTAGAGTGTTCACAAGGTTTTTCTATTTATAGCTCCTGTGACCTACTTTTTCATCCGAGATGACCCATGTTCGAACTCATCCAAGCTATCACCTAGACAAACATCCTGACCAAGTTTGATGATGATTGGGTCAAAAAATGTGACCTCTAGAGTGTTCACAAGGTTTTTCTATTTTTAGCTCTTGTGACCTAGTTTTTTCATCCGAGATGACCCATGTTCGAACTCATCCGAGCTTTCAACTAGATAAGCATCCTGACCAAGTTTGATAATGATTGAGGCAAAAATGCGACCGCTAGAGTGTTCACAAGCAATTGTGGACGGCCGGACGGACGACGGACGACGGACATTCACCGATCCTAAAAGCTCACCCTGAGCAAGCTCAGGTGAGCTAAAAATGCAAAATTAATATATCTATTAATATGTAAAATGTCCTGTATAAATCACATTGAATTGATTTAAATTACATGCTGATGACATTATGCTGGCAGCACATGTCTGTAATTAGTTCAGAGATATCATGCCCATTATATGCCTTAGAAATGCTTTTATTTCTAAAAAAAAAATTTGGGGGGGAGTGTCTTGTTATAGTTTCTGAAAAGTTACTGATTGCCCAGTCATCTGAACCATCTTTTGCCTATGTACCTTTGTCATTCAGTAGTTATAGTGATTTAGTATTTTGTATGGAAGTCAAAATACAACGTTATTTACATTTTGCTCCGTTTATTTTCTGCACTTATTTGCTCAAGTGATAAACATTTCACATTCTCTAAACCCATTTTTTGAATGTCATAGAAGTCATTTTTGCCCTTTCTAAAGAAGGAAAAAATTATTTTTCTGAGGCATAATGTTTAACCTTCTTAATTTTCAAAATGAACTTCTCCAACTTCCATTTGAAACAGTCCATTTACAGTCTAAGGAGCATTAAAATTTAACTCTCTTACTGCATACATATTCAGAGTTGTCATTAAATGGCCGTTGAATGCCACAACAACTGGACTGTCTTAAATGCATTTTTGGGCTGCCTAAAAACATAGCAAACACTCCTTGTAGTATTGTGATCTGATAAAACTTTAAACTGACTACAGCAAGCTGACATGGCTTTATAATTGGGTGGCAATTGTTTAAGTACAAGAGTTGCATACACTTCCATATATGGAGAAGAAAAAATCCTATCAAAAATTATTTTTAGTCAATGGCTTTTTACTGGCAAAACACTTGATTCAAATATATTTCAACAACAGAAAAACAGGTGGTTAAACAATATTTTAAAAACATGAACTGCTATTATTAATACAATCCATGAGAAGTCTAATTTCACATAAACTACCAAAGATAGTATAACATCTTAATGTCATAATATTCCATACAAACAAAACATCTGCAGGAATACAATCTATATCGTTTCATTAAACAAACATTTTAGTTATGCCAATCACAGATGGGGGACAGAGATATCAAAGTCTCTGTATATTGTTCACATTTAAGTCTGTGATAGAACATCAAAAACATCATGTTTCTTCATATGACACCAGTACTGGTTGGTTCCAGGAAGTGGACTCGAAAGTGATTAATATAAGTTGCAAGAACTTGTTTCGCAATCGAGCTAAAATAAATATGTTTAAACCAAAGACAGAAATTACATCATCTGTATGCAATAACAACTCCTTGTCATGCAATGTAACATAGACTGCACAGTCATTGTCGGAACTTTAAGTACATTTAACAGTTCCCTCCTGCAATTGTCTCTTGTAACATATCTTGAATGTGTTCACAAGTAAATGGCAATGTTTGCATTTCTATATTTCTGACAATAAAGATCAATGTCTATGCATCATTTAAATATATTTCTGGTCCTTCATGGGCACGGATTCCAGCACTATTAAAGAGACACAGGCAAAATTTTCATTTCTTCGTTTTGATTGTTTAATTCATTATTCTGTAAATGTCCTCAAAATGAAAACACTAGGCAGTCACAGGAACAAAACTTTTCTCCTTATTAAGAATAAAATTGAGGTTTCCTAACTTGACCCACGTGGGTCAGGTTAGAGAGTTAAGATTTCACAATAGTTGTCACAGTGAACTCTTGAAACGTTAAAGAACATGTCAAATGAATGACTTAGGCTTGTTTCAATCATACAATGTACACAACATCAGTTATTGTAAGTTTCAGAGTTTGTTCAAGCCACACAACTTCTTTTTAAACTACTCAGTGATTTATTTGGCGCCTAAATTTCGATCAACATATATATAGATATATTTACCATTCAAACCCAAAATATATGAGAGATGATGCACTTTCAATCAGTCAGCAATTTTTATTTATTTCTATTCTAAAAGGACCATCATTTTCTATAATTTTACATTTTAGCTTGATTGTTACATGTATTTTTTTTTTGTTATCATGGTCACATTTTCTTCTGTTTACATTATATTTCTTGTCAAAGTTGTGAAGTTGTGGACAACATAATATTATTTCTGTGAAGGTATACTTGTATACTAGATGCTTAAACTACATTGCTCAAAGTTGTAATGTGTGCACGGTGACAAGATGTATTTTCTCAAAAGCAATTGCAACCTTTGTAATAGTTTCAAGAAATATTTTGCGAATATCTAACTAATAGTGTCATCTTATAATCATATGACAGCTAAACCTTCAATAAATCATTTGTATAAAATTGTTTTGTCAATTTAAAACCATGTAATAATGCAAGTTGCTCTTATTGCAAGACTTTTTTCTACTTACAAAATCAAATGTGCATGTCTCAAAATTTTTCACATCAGAGGGATCACCAAAATTGTTTTATATGTGAACTATGAGAAACTTCTTTATGATCCCTTTGTTACTGAAGTAGCAAATTTCAACACATTGTTCTAGTTTAGCTATGCCTAAAACATTCAGAGAAAAAATATCTTGGGATTGACATTTCATTATTTCAGAGCAATGTTATTATGTTTACTTACTTTCCAGCATCTCTAGAGCTTCTAATGAACTTTGAACATTCCCTCTTCATAAACGTTCTCTCGATCCATGATCTTTGACTCTGTAAGTACAAAAACAAGAAAACTTAAATCATCTGGGTACCATTATTTCGAACAAGTTAATATTTGTAGCCATTGTCTCCAACACTCAGGTGAAAAGTTGAGACCCAGCAAAGCCCTGGTAAATTCTTCCTACTGAGGGGGGAAATCAGAACCCAAAATCTGACTAACATATTTCTCATGATACAGGTTTCCCTTTATCAATAACTTATTTTGGTGCAAAAATTAAACCACTGTACTAATCCTCATTCGGAAAATAAAACACCTCATATAGAAGACAAATCCTCTCCTATGGAAGATAAAACACCCCATTTTGGAAGACAAAACATCTCATATGGAAGATAAAATACCTCATTTGGAATACAAAACATCTCATATGGAAGATAAAACACCTTATTTGGAAGACAAAACACCTTATTTGGAAGACAAAACACCAGTATTTGGATACAAAACACCTTATTTGGAAGGCAAAACACCTTATTTGGAAGACAAAACATCTCATTTGGAAGACAAAACACTTAACATTTATTCTACTGGTCTCTTACATCACTTTGGGGGTTGTGTAAAGAAGTCCTAATGTGACCCACAAATTACCACCTTTTTTGACCTTGTAATCCAATTCTTTTTATACTACCAATACTACAATCCATCCAATCAAATTAATGCCATACTGAGTCTATTTTTGATCCATTTATTTTAGATCATACAGAACACAAATGGCAAAATGTGAGCAAAAACCTAATAGCATTGTTTAGTTTGCTGTCAAAATAGTCAATCACTGATGAATATTTTATGTTCCTTAAAATGAACAACAGTTATATCAATATTTGATAGTCTAGACAAACAGAAAACTCAAATGAGCCGTGTCATGACAAAACAAACATAATGGGTTTGCGACCAGCATGGATCCAGACCAGCCTGCGCATCCGCACAGTCTGATCAGGATCCATGCTGTTCGCTATCAGTTTCTTTATTTGTTATAGGGTTTGTAAGCGAACAGCATGGATCCTGATCAGACTGCACGGCTGGTCTGGATCCATGCTGGTCGCAAACCCATTTATTATGTTGGTTTTGTCATGACACGGCTCAAATTTATTAGAAAAAACACATCCAGTGTCAGACAGACTGGCTTTGTGTTTTGATAAATGACAAGCAAGATTCTGGAGTAAAATGTGAGGACCAGTCTTACAGTATTCAGTCCCTTGTTGTCAAAGGTCAACATCAAATCAAATCAAGTGATATGAATACTACAGGAGATCAGCTATTCCAACACAATTTTTCTGATGCAAAGACTGTATAATATTATATAGACATTTCAGACATGGGAACCAGGGCATTTTGTTACTTAGAAGTCGTTACCACTTACTTCAAAACACAATGTTAGAAATATATTTCTGTGAATGAATTAATTATTACATCTTACATTAAGCAATGAAAAAAATAAAATAGACATCAACAAAAACAGGAATTTAATGAAAAAGAATGTCATAATTATAGAACAATTGAAGCATTTTCTCATAAAAGAATTCATTGACAAGTACAAAAGGCTAGAGTAAGTTCATCTTGATTCTCTAATAGACTGTGTCCTATGTGTTTATCATTAATCACAACATTAATAACTGTCTAAAGCTAAGCTACAGGGAAATCTGAGTCACCTACATTAGATAGTAGATGACATAGACTTCAATATGAATGATCATACTGGAATACAAAATGAAAATATCTGGTAATGACTTACCAAATAAATTCTTTCACAACTTTTGCAGAATATACTTATGTACTTTGGTTGTCCCAAATGGACATAAATTTATTTGATGATTTTAATGATGAATTTCGAGACCTAGATCTTCTTCTGTCAGTATAATAAATAATGTAATCATTCACTATAAGAAGAAATTCAGCTCTGCCACTCAAAAATTTGAATACGAGATCATAATGACTGTGCAAGTATGGCAATCTGAAACTGCTCAGCAACAAAACTGCATAAAAAATGGTTTTAAAACAGCCGCATGAAGCTGATATTACATCAATCCATACAAACAGGTAAAAAAATAATAACTTGAAGCTTACTCTGTAACAAGGGCAATATTGTCACAAAATACGCCCATCACAAAAGCTTTTGACAAAGATGTGGGCATTATAGATATGCTTATGCAAGATACGCTATGGGCAATATCCAGACAATATCTGCTTTTTATTTGTCAGACCAAACAAATAATGGTAGAGAAATTTCAGACCCTGATGCTGTAAAGTAGTCCGCTTTTTCGAAGCGGTTACTTCCCTTTATATGTACACATATGCCAAAAATTCAGGGGAGATCACTGCGTAAAGATGGTCAAATGACAGGCGCATTAATTTTTAAGCAAAATAGTTCCCGAATGGTCGAAGATTTCTAATATTGTTTTATTCTTTATAGATATACATGCGTATAGTAAGCTCCATGATTATTTACATCTGTGTAAAACAACAGTTAGCGTCAAAATAATAATGGTTACAAACCCTAATTTAGAATAATATAGTTTTCTTCAGGCCGTGAATATATAACTTCACCGTGGCCGAGGGGTTTGCGCCCTCGCTTAGAAAGCGAGAGGTCTGGAGTTCAATTCCCAGTTAAGGCAACTCATTTTTTTTTTTCAAATTGTTTAAGTCAAATAAACATTTAATTGAATATCGGTGTTGCAATTAGTCTTATAGCCAATTTACTACAATTAAAACACTGGAAAGCATTGGTGGCACTATACAAAAACAAATTGGTTTACAATCTCACAACCTTCACCTTTCTGACATTCTGAGTCCCAAACAAATTCAGCGCCTTCTGTGCTTTGATTTATCATCTCTAGTGACCTTAACCTTGCAAAAATTAACCTAAACTAGAACTGCCACTATCATGGCGTGAATACCCCCGCATACCACTTTGTCAGAATCAACGGTGGCCATTTAGAGCTCAAGGACAACCTCCCTGCCAAATCTGAGGTTACTAAGCCAGTGCATTGCTAAGTTATGTATTCTACATGCTTCAAATGTGAAAATGTCAAAATCAATACATTGCGGACAGGACATTCTTTAACAGTTGAGAAGAAAAGCTTTTTTTTGTCAAGGTCCCTGTGACCTTGACCTTTGACCCAGTGACCTCAAAATCAATATGGGTCACCTTATAGTCATGATCAACATCCATGCCAAATATGAAGACTGTGGGTCAAAGGAATCTTAAGTTAATGGGTGGACAAACTTTTTGAAGTCAAAGTCCCTATGACCTTGACCTTTGACCCAGTGACCTCAAAATCAAAAGGGGTCATCTACTAATCATGATCAACATCAATGCCAAATATGAAGACTGTGGGTCAAAGGAATCTAAAGTTATTGGGCAGACAAACTTTTTGAAGTCAAAGTCCCTGTGACTTTGACCTTTGACCTCAAAATCAATAGGGGTCATCTACTAATCATGACTAACCTCCATTCCAAATATGAAGACTGTGGGTCAAAGGAATCTTAAGTTATTGGGCGGACAAGCTTTTTGGAGTCAAGGCCCCTGTGACCTTGACCTTTGACCTGGTGACCTCAAAATCAATAGGGGTCATCTACTAATCATGACAAACCTCCATGCCAAATATCAAGACTATGGGTCAAAGGAATCTTAAGGTATAGGGCGGACAAGCTTTTTGAAGTCAAGGCCCCTGTGACCTTGACCTTTGACCTGGTGACCTCAAAATCAATAGGGGTCATCTACTGATCATGACTAACCTCCATGCCAAATATGAAGACTGTGGGTCAAAGGAATCTTAAGTTATTGGGCGGACAAGCGTTTTGAAGTCAAGGCCCCTTTGACCTTGACCTTTGACCTGGTGACCTCAAAATCAATAGGGGTCATCTACTAATCATGACTAACCTCCATTCCAAATATGACGACTGTAGGTCAAAGGAATCTTAAGTTATAGGGCGGACAAGCTTTTTGAAGTCAAGGCCCCTGTGACCTTGACCTTTGACCTAGTGACCTCAAAATCAATAGGGGTCATCTACTAATCATGACTAACCTCCATGCCAAATATGACGAATGTAGGTCAAAGGAATCTTAAGTTATTGGGCGGACAAGCTTTTTGAAGTCAAGGCCCCTGTGACCTTGACCTTTGACCTAGTGACCTCAAAATCAATAGGGGTCATCTACTAATCATGACTAACCTCCATGCCAAATATGAAGACTAAGGGTCAAAGGAATCTTAAGTTATTGGGCGGACAAGAAAAAACCGACGGACAGCCGGACGGACGGCCGGACGGACGGCCGGACGGACGGACGGACAAGCTGATTCCAGTATACCCCCCTTACAACTTTGTTGTGCGGGGGTATAATTACATGTGTCACACTTGTAGCCATGATAGTCATCATTTGTGTTACAATCCATCAATAAATGAAGACTAAATAGTCCCTGTACACATCTTCTGTTTTATCTTAACTTTGACCTCTCTGTGTGACCATGACTTTGGTAGCAGGGACCTGGATTCCTAAATTACATGTTTCACACTTGTAGTCATGATAATCAATTCCCAAATAAATGATGACTAAATGGTTCAAATACACATTTTCATATCTTCATCTGAACTTTGATCCCTATGTGTGAACTTGAGCTTGGCCGCAGGGACCTGAATTTTGCACCCAACACTCTGCCTCAGTATAGTAACCATTTGTGCCAATTTATATTGAAATCCCCTAAGCATGTAGAAGTTTTGTTCTGGACAAGCGTTTTTCAATGACCTCTAAGTGTGACCTTGACCTCTAACCTAGAAACCTGGTTCATGCGCATGACACTGCTTCTCACAGTTGTGAACATTTCTATGAAGTTTTATTAGAATCCCTCCATGCATGTAGGAGATATGCTCTGGACAAAATCTCTATATTCAATCATCTTTAGTGACCTTGACCTTGCATATATTAACCTAAATTACATGGTTCACACCCGTAGTCATGATAATGACCATTTGTGTTTCAATTCCTCAATAAATGATGACTTAATGGTCTGAATATAAATTAACAAATTATTATCTGAACTTTGACCCCTATGTGTGACCTTGACCTTGGCTGCAGGGACCTAAATTTTGCATGTGACAATCCACCTAAAATGGTGAACATTTGTGACTTGTTATATAGAAATACCTCTATGCATGTAGAAATTTTGCTCTGGACAAGCGTTTTTCAATGACCTCTTAGCGTGACCTTGAATTTTGACCTAAAGAACTGGTTCATGTGTGTGACACAGCTTCTCATAGTGGTGAATATTTCTATGAAGTTTCATAAACATTCCCCCATGCCTGTAGGAGATATGCTCAGGACAAAAAAAGGACTGCTCGCACGATAGCCGGACCGTCCACCAGGGGGGAAACTATAATATGATACATTTTTTAAAACGGGCGTAATAAAAAGCTGATTATTCTGATGAGGAAGCGAGTTTCCAACAACTTTACTGATAGAAGTAAAATCTTAGCCCATATATCATGATGAAAGCACTTGTAAAATCCCCATGGCATTTCAGAGCATATTTGCTAATCTATAATAAATCAACTAAATTGTTATACAAACAATAATTATATAAATAACTGAAAAATAATTAAATAAAATTTCAGGAATGTTATTTAGCATAAGAAACATGACAGTAATGTTAAACATTTTTTCAACTAAGACTACATAATTATATGTATATCTAATAACAATTTTAAGTCTGACATTTAACAAGAGCTGTCCGTAAGACAGCGCGCTCGACTTTTTTATTGCTTGCCAATAAAAAAAGTTTTTGCAGTAAAAGGCAATACAAGAATCTCTGTATTTTTAAAGTGAACAATGGCCATGAGCATTAAGATATTTAGTGAAGAATTATTTTATTATGACATAATTTATGGTAAAGTGAACAAGTGGATAGGAATGAATTTTTTTAGATTTTTTAAGTTTTTTAGTGCTTGCCTATAATACAAAACATTGACAGTTAAGGGCCATAATTCAAATAAAATCTTTGACAGAATTACCTTCTCCTGGACATGTTTGGGAATCATGATTGTAAACAAGTATTCCAACTTTCAAATTAATATCTCAAACAGTTCAGTCAAAAAGTGGACTGGTACTAAAAACTTAACCAAGATTCTAAGTCGATAAAAGGCCTTAATTTTTTAAAACAAATCCTTGACAGAGTTACCTTCTCTTGCGTACAGATGGGGTAATGATGTGAAATAGCATTAAAAGTTTCAAAGCAATATCTCAAAGGGTTAAGGCAATAAGTGGATTTTACCCATATTCAATGTATTTTCTAAGTCAAAAAGGGGCATAATTCTGTCAAAAACCTTGACAGAGTTATGTCCTCTTGTCTGTTGATGAAGGTCGTGATGGTAAACAAGTATGGTCAGTTTCAAAGCAATACCTCCAATGGTTTTGAAATAAAGTGAGGTGGTACAAAAAACTTAACCAAGCTCAATACACATTTTATAAGTCAAAAAAGGGCCATAATTCTGTCAAAAACCTTGACAGAGTTATGTACTCTTGTCTGTAGATGGAGGTTATGATGGTGAACAAGTATGGTAAGTTTCAAAGCCATACTTGTAATACTTCTGAAATAAAGTGGGGTGGTACGAAAAACTTAACCAAGGTGTGACGCCAACGCCGACGCCGACGCCGGGGCGAGTAGGATAGCTCCCCTTTTCATAGAAAAGTCGAGCTAAAAAACAAGGAGGCCATGATGGCACTAAAAACAGCAGATTCTTCATGAGAAATTGTATGGGTCTGTTCAATGAAAACTGCTATCAATTTAAGTACTATTAATACGGTCACATTAAAAATGAGCTAATAGCTCAGATATAAATCTGAGCATTGATATCAGAATTAAATGGTTTTTACTGTTATTTTCAACAGTACAATTAATACATAATTTAAGTGACCTGCAGGGCAAACTATTTTGACCAGTGGCATGTGTTTTACAAATTACAGCTTTTCTTAAATGGCACAAGCATGTCACATTTAAAGTTACAAATTGTTCACTTCAGTATATCTTTTAAAATTTTAAATTCTACCATTTTCATGTTCAAATGTTGAATATTATAATACTTAATACTTAAGCTAGTACTTACCAATTGGTTCTTACCAATACCTTTCATGAACAGCTCTGAAACATTTTCAGTTTTGCTTTCTTTGATGTTCTTTCTTAATTTACCATTCACAAATGGCCACCAAGAAGGGTCAAATATGAACCCACGGGAATGATTTACAAAAAATTTCTGAGGACCTCAAGTTGATACTAGTTCATACAAAATATTCAAACAAAACAGATTCACAAAGCATCATTATATGATAATATACAACATATATTAATATTAGATCATTCAGAAGTAATAACAGGAATTCTTACCGAGTTTTCATGTGAACCACTGCCCAATATAGATTTTCGAATACTCGCAAGATCCTCAAAGATTGAGGCGAGACTTGTTCGAGAATGATGTGTATCATTATCATGCTGGACCTTTAACATTCCATTTGACGGTCCAGTGAAATGATTGGCTAATTTCTTCATTTCAGAAAAATATTCCAATTTTCCGCTACAATAATCCGTGTTAAGAATATGGAAGCGATGTTTCTTTAGTATCCTACTGTCTTTTTCATTGTTTATATCTCACTTGCTAATCTTTTGCTTTTTTTTCTATCCTTTGTATCAACAAATTCAGTCTCTAATTTCCGATGCATTTATTTTTACCTGAGATTTTATTCACATTGTTTTATATACACATGTATTGCATATTGTATAAATATCTACTGAAAATCAGATTACAGTTTTGTTTCTGCCAGAAATCTACAGTGGTTTTTATTGCATTTTAAACAATCCAGATCTTACTTAAAATTAACAAAGATCATCAACTTTTCACAGTTTACACATAAAACTCATTTAATCTTGACATCATTAATATCCAGTACATATATTATAATAATGAAGTAGTTTGTCAAGCAACAAAATCAAAAAGATTAAATCCAAGGCAATTATAATAAAATATTGATGCATTGTCCACTTAAACATTACTGTATTCTCTTGATAAAGATTTCAAAGCATGAAATTCAATGTAAACTCATTCTTAACACACTTAATTCAACAAATCATTATCAACACTTATCAATTTCAATTAAGGAAATACTTGTTTTCAACATTTATATTATAAATTATGTATGTTCACTATATATTCACTATACTGTTGTTTAAACTGTATATTCAATATGTGAATCACCCAATCAAGTAAGAAGTGTTGGCATAGAAAAAAATTAATTAACAAACATATGTTATGTATGATAATGACTCTCCAGTGTTTGAGGTATAGGTTGAACCTTAGATGGTGCTGACGGTCATACTATTTCAAGTAAATAACATTCACTTAACAACTTTTGTACAGTGTCCCTCAAAACTCCAAAAAACAAAAGTAAAAAGGTTTATGTCGATTTCACCCAAGGTAATGTTTCAACTTATTTCTCCATCATAACTTCATGGATTTTTCCAAACTAAACAATTTTGTGAAGCTAAATATGTCAGGGTTTAGAGCAGTATTTGCTTTTTCTGCAAATTGAATACTTTAATTTTGTTGGCACAATTTTAAATACTTAACTAAAGTGTGACGGCAACACAAACACCTGTGAGTACAATAAGCTCTCTTTATTCTTCAAATAGTCAAGATCAGTTCTAAATTATTTTTTTCAATAATCAAAAAACAAAGTCCACTAAAGAAAAGTGTATATCCTAGTTTATCCCCCCACACACACACTGTTATATACACTGATAAATCAATGTATCTATTGAGGAAGCTGTGAAATGCATTTAACATACTTGAGGTGATATTCAATATATAACATCATTTAATTAATTGAAACTTGTGTTATTGATTTTAACTAATGATTGGAAACATTGATTTCATTGACTGCTGTCAACATCTTGTCTTCCTAAATCAAAGCAGCATGCCTGTCCAAATTCATGTTAATTTTCAAGAATTGTATTTAAAAGAAAGAAAGAAATTTACACTTTGCAAACGCCACTTACATTCCACAATAAATACCTAAAATAGGTCAGGATATGCAAAAATACTGCCCTTATTGAGTTAGTCACACGCAGTAGAAATATGGTGATAAATACTTCAAATCAGTCATAAGTTGTATATAACAATAACAAAATGTAAATAATTACTTGAATTGTATAATTATAATAATTATTATTTTAATTTTCATAAAATCTTATTACATTTTTTTCAAGGCTGATTTCCTGAAAATAATTTGACTCATCTGGAGGCATGCAGCTTTAACCTAAGAAAAGGAACATAACTGCAAAATCTAATTTAGTTTGTAAGATTTTTGTTTAAGTGCAATAACCATGCGAGACATTCTATTAAATTGTTACACTATACTCTTTCTTGAATCAAGCATAAGATTATGGAAACAATATATTTCACTGTTTATAAATTTCAAAAATATTTCAATCCAATATAGTATTTGTACCCTTTAAGCAGTTTATAAATTCTATAATCTAAATTTAGCCTTTAAATCATATGGTCTCTTTTATCACAAAACATGGGAGATTCATGATAATTCATCATAAAATACATTAAAAGTGAAATGTTTTATGACGCTCCTAAACGTCTTCATTATTAGTCAAATATAACATTGACCATTATTGACCTTAAAATACAAGCAACATAACTCTGCATCAAGCTCTGTATCATAAGGGAGGTCATTATCATATTTCCTTAGAAAATCAAAGCCTATAAAGCAATTTCTTGTGTTTTGCAAGATGATAATCTAATTACTCTGAATACCATTATATATCTAATAATACTTTTCAGTATTTTGCAAGATTAATATCATTCCTTAATAAGTTTTCAAATGAAAAACCATTGTTGTTGGTGAAAATAGTGTGAGTGACGTCATTAAAAAAAAAAGCTTCTTAATTATTCATCCGAGCCTTCCTGGACAGTAACTACGTATCACTATACTGATTATATATAGAAAGTATTACCGCTGTGATTGGCTTGAAAAAGTATTTGTGCATGTAATGGAAACAAGTATTTTTTATGAATAGAATGGTATTGTTTATGAAAGCCCCAAAATGATAGTGATGGGTGTTTTGATGAAAGGACAAAAAATATTGATTCCACAATTATTTATATACTCATCAAAAATTTCATCTTCTGATTTACTTAAATCATTATTATAACCATTTACGCCTAAAATTTAATTCATTTACAATGTACAAATGTAACAAACAATACAAAGACGTAGACAATATATTATAATGTCAAAATTATAACAGTGACCTTAGAGTTTCAGTAAGGAAACTGCATGTCATATTATATATTATGACAGGAATTAACGTGCCCTTATGATCTACAAATGTTTGATGTCTGCCAGCAAACCTACCTTCAACTGCCTCTTAAATTTAATTATACACTGTGATGTAATAAAAGTTTAGTTTTTTTGTTAAACCTCACAACTAAACATTACTCATTAATTTGAACATTACAATGAGACAAGTAATTTCCTTTATGCTGTGTTTCAGATTAACTTAACCCAGCTAAATTATATTTGTGTATTACAGAGTTTGACTGCCAAGGGCAAGCTGTTGTTTCCATGAGCAAGAAACTTTACACTCTTTGCTTAGTACTAGTTGGTTCCAGGAATGGATTCAAGAGTGTTTCAAAAAGCATTATGACTTCATATGACAGAATCGAAACTAAAACAAGAACTGTCGGAGGACAGTAACGCTCAACTATTCGAAAAGTTGTCACAAGTGTGTTTCATTGAGTATAATAATGCTTACCTATATGAATAAATAAAATTGTCCCAAAAAGTACAAAGGCTTGTTATTAAGATGTTTTATCGAGTGAATCACTGCTTTATTATGAATGCATAAAATTGTTCCAAAAAAAGCACAAACCCTTCAGTAGTTATGGAGATACCAGCTTACAAGCAAAAACTTTACCAAGAATTTCTATGCCGAAAAAGGTGCATAATTACGGGGGAAAAAATCAGAATTATGGGACTTGTGCCAATCCTATTAAATAATCACAGAGAACAAGTGTGTGAAGTTTCAATTCATTCCCTTCAGTAGTTATGGAGATATCAGCTTACACGCAAAAACTTAACCACAGGGACGCCAACAAATGGGTGACTGCATTAGCTCGATTATTCTGCGAATATAGTTGAGCTAATAAAATAGTATAAACTTAAAACTAATTGTGAGGCATTTTAACATCAGTATTATTTAATAGCAGCAACTAGTACATTTGGAACACCTCACTAATCCATAATTAATCAAGCTGGCAAACAATATGGGTTGAAGGCAGTATATCCATGTGACATTTATGTAAACAAAAACAAATCTCTGCTAACTAAGTAACCAGGATATTTATTGAACATTCCGAAGAATTTACTGATATGATGACAAAAAGACTGGGTTTTTTTTGTTGGGTTTAACATCACACCAACAAAGTAGAGGTCATATGGAGACTTTAAAGCTTTACTGGTGGAGGAAGACCTCAGTTGCCCCATTGTGCACAAGCAGGTACCCAAGTAGAATGGGCATAAAGTTTGCTAGTACAACTTTCAACTTACAACAGCGTGTTCCTGGTCTTTAAATGAAATATGATGGAAAGGGTCACAATAATGCAATCAAAAACAGTCAACAGTCTGGTACAACAGTACCTGCTGGCAAGTATATCCCGGCCACAAAGTAACGCCATCACCAAAACAGCCTTCACATAAATGACAATTATTTGTAAACTAGTAAATCTGTTATAACATGTTCGACATAAGCAAATAGTTTGGCGATAATAACAAAAAATGTTAAATTTCTGTTTCAAAGAAAGCCCTCCTTTGATCATTTTATTACCATAAACAAACACATTCAGGTCCAAGTATGTCAGCCGCCATCAATGATAATAAAAAAGCTCATTTGTTTCTTTGAATTCACTTGTAAAAAACTGATTCTTATCTTTTTTTAATGTATAATTTTAATAATGGAAAGAGAATTCAGGCATTAAAATCCATTTTGAGCAGCTTTTAGAACATTAGATCAATACAAATTATCAATAGGAAATCTTAATGATCAAGGAAAAATGAATCTAGGTCTTCTATTAAATCATCTAATTCTGTCCTACATTTCTAAGAAATCTTTGTTAATAAAATGTCTATATGTGAAGTAAATGTATTATAAATCATTGCATATGTAATTATGATAGCAGGAAATACTGTAAATTTAGTTGCAGTGATGATTAACCAGTGGCTCAAACATACTTCAGTCGTTCAAAACAGTTTGGACAACCCCTATTTTTCAGAAGGTACTTTAAACAGATCCATTCTAATAAGAGAACATTATGTTTTTTTTTTCTTGAAACAATGTCAAAATTTAATTATTCCAAAATACTCAAAATTCATAATTAGCCGAAAGTCACAATATGTCAGAATATATTATTTTCTACTAAATTTTCAACATTTCACAACTTCAAAATATCCCAACAGTGCAGCATTAGACATGTCGTCACTGAAAGGTGCAAATAACACTGCAACCTCTCTTATAGTGTCCAAGCTTGCTTAATTTTAATGTTAATTTTCATATCAACATCAATAAAATAATAACAACAACAATGAAATGTCTCAAACATTAAAAGGAAGACAATATGGAACAAATTAATGAAACAAAAATCTTGACATTTAATATTGAAAAAGTTAATAAAACAAGAATATTGACAATATGGAACAAAAATCTTGACAATATGGAACAAGAATCTTGTCAATATGGAACAAAAATCTTGATAATATGGAACAAAAATCTTGACAATATGGAACAAAAATCTTGACAATATGGAACAAGAATCTTGACAATATGGAACAAAAATCTTGATAATATGGAACAAAAATCTTGACAATATGGAACAAGAATCTTGACAATATGGAACAAAAATCTTGAGTTAATAAAACAAAAATCTTGAGTTAATAAAACAAAAATCTTAATGTTGATCTGAAAAGCTTCCAAACTGTATCCTC